TTTAATAGGAACGTATTCTACTAAAACGGCCACAAGAAGGTCTATATCCACTCCAATACAAATGGACAATGTCGGCTGCTATGGAACTGAAGCTAGACTCATTGACTGTGCCTATGACATGGAAACCATCATCGATTATACCGACGATTATAGTGAAGATTACGCCAGTGAAGATACTCACTACGGAGATGTCTGGATTGACTGTAGCAGTAGCACTAGTACAACAAGTGGACCTGATGGGTGTAAGGGTAACACGGATTGCAGCAAAACACCTGGTGATGAAATTGACAGTAGCAACACTAGTACAAGTGGACCTGATGGGTGTAAGGGTAACACGGATTGCAGCAAAACACCTGGTGATGAAAATGACAGTGGCGTAAACAATGCCAAGTCGAAGGATAAAAGCAGCAGTGAAGCTGACTCGGATGAGGGGAATGATGTGGCACTAATCTTGGCTGTAGTGGCCTTCGTTGGCTTCGTTCTCATGTCAACTGTTATCATTAGTTTCATCGTCTACTTCATTTGGAAAAAAGGTGGAGCTCGTCAAAGTATGAGGTGGGTTTAACGGTGCATCTAGCTATACATTGATCATCATAATCTTTGTTTGTGCAGGGTCCATTATCTGAAATCAGACCAAGCCCCGATGAAACCAAAATGATAGCCGCTGATGACCCATAGAAACACTGGGAGATTGTGTGCTTTATAATAGCACTGTTTACTAACATCTGTAAATTAGTCATTTGCCGGAGGTGTGGCTAAACACAAATTGTTTGTGCGCATGCGTGGAATAACTTGTACATTAGATGGCGATACAACCGGGTCCGAAGAAGAAGGACTTGTTTTAGTTTGCATCAACAAAAGATGGGGTCCTATTTGCCACAACAACGATGCTAATGCAAAGACTGTGTGCCGTCAACTTGGATATACTTACGGAGATGGTAAGAAATTGTTTATGTTAGCATAATATGGGAGGGTAATTCTCGAATACAACTTTCCGATATTATACATCTGA